CATTCATCATTTTAGGACTACCGAAATCATCTTAGCAACAAACAGTTCGATTTATTCACTTTAATAATGAGAAAGCGAAACGACGAACGTTCACTTTTCACGGGTTTCTCAGCGCTGTTACTTAAGTCAAACGGCATCTCCATAGAAATTGGGTGACTTAAGTAACATCGAAAACTATTTTGATCGGAAGGTGATTACGTCAAAAAGCAATTTGACTGGCAAATAAACGTAAAAATAGGATTTGATCCTATATTCGGACAGTATATAGTGTAATAGCAGGAGAATCGATTGACACTGATAGCTCGACTTTGTTTACCTTTGTTACATTCGACGTAATGAAAATTTGCTCTTGACTTCATCATTTCTCAATAGTGACGGAGTAATACCAACAATCAATACGAAACTAACGATTTTAAATTGGCTCACCACTTTAGTAGCCTATTGGTCCCAAGCAAACGATTAACGTACCCTATTCTAGTTGAAATTCTATTACTACACTATGTTTGTTTTGATTCGCTATGAAAGTTTGACAGATAACATCAGGGGTGTGTGGATTCATGCAGAACATGCAGGGGTGAGTGAAATAGCTTGGGACTGCTTGGGACCGTTGTTCTGGTACTGAGTGAGCCAAAAATAATAATGATTTTCTTCGGGACCCAGTGGTCTTAGAGTTACCTCTATGGTAATACCATAGAGGTAACTCTAAGACCAGAAGGTCCCGAAGATTCGTGTTCAACTTTTTGGCTCAGCTCTGGTACTATTTTCGGTCCCAAGCTAATCGATGCACCCCTCGAAACATAAGAAAATCCATGAACCCCTCATTTTATCTGTCAAGCTTTCATATCAAATCAAAACAAACATAGTGTAGTACTAGAATTTCGACTAGAATGGGATACATTAATAGTTTGCTTGGGACCAATAGGCTAGTCAAGTAGTGAGCCAATTAAAAATCGTTAGTTTCGTATTGATTGTTGGTAATACGACATGCACTAAACTAAGGACACGAGATATACTACAATAGATCAAATTACTGGTCGCAGTGGTGTTTGCATAGAGGTAACAAGAAGGTCCCTAAATAACGTGCTCAACTTTTTGGCTCACCTCTGGTACTCTCTTCGGTCCCAAGCTAATCGATTCAACCCTCGAAACATAGGAAAATCCAATAACCCCTCATTTTATCTGTCAAACTTTCATAGCGAATCAAAACAAACATTGTGTAGTACTAGAATTTCGACTAGAATGGGAGACGTTAATCGTTTGCTTGGGACCAATAGGCTAGTCAAGTAGTCAGCCAATTTAAAATCGTTAGTTTCGTATTGATTGTTGGTGTTTGATCCCGAACAGAGGAAAAAAAACTATGCTGAAGATATCGTCGACAAACATCCACCAACGGTTTGGCAATAGTCCTTTCTCCTTCAGGATTGTCTCCAAGTTAGCCATGAAAACTTCACACAGGATGGGGAATAGGGGATTTCCCATTGGGGATCCTTTCGTCTACTTAGTCTGCTTAGAGAAGTAGTTCTCTTCCATACAAAGGCGGGTCAGCTTAAGGTGCGTCCGAACCTTGTTTCTCCATGCTGCATCCTCTCGTTGTGTTAATAACCAGTCCTCCGAATGGTTGATCGCTTCCTTGACCGATACGCTAATAGAACTAAAACATACAGAGAGGAGCATAGGGTAGTGTTCTGAGAGACCGCACAGGAGGTAAAGCTGAGCAAATCAAATTGTTTTAAGGTGCTGCGCGGAGATGCTGATGCCAACCCCTGGGGCGACGCATACCGAGTCTCGATTACGAAGATCTGAGGTAAAAACGACGCCCGATGAGATGTGCCCAGACAAGCTCTTCCCGGAGCTCAAACCAAATAACTGGCTACCTTCAACGTACGGCGATGAAGACAACTTCGAAGCCTACAACAAGGAATTCGTAGTAGTGGTGAAAGGGTTGAAGGTGAATAAAGCTCCCGGACCATATGGAATCCCCAACGTGGTGTTGAAACCGGCGATCCTTCAGGCCTTCCCGACTATTTTCAGGATGGTGGGGTGTCTGGATGAGGGTCACTTCCCAGACAGATGAGATACAGAAGCTAGTGTTGCTACCTTAGCCAGGAAAACCACCGGGGGTCCAGAGTCGTATAGGCCTATATGACTGCTGGATACACTAGATGAACTCTTGGAAGGATTATCCTCAACAGGCTGATGAAATGTACGGATAGTGCACATGAACTGTCGAAGATGCAGTTCTTCGTGGTAGTATTTATTGAAAAAAAAAATTGAATAATCCATTTTCAAAAATAAGATGCCAGTCAAAGTGGCCGCTTTACAGCATACATTTGAAAGTGCCCATGTTTCATGGAATTCTGAAAGGTAAAATCTTTTTGTTTCGCTATTTTCCGTGGATTTTATATAGAGATTTTCACGCCTGGTTGTATTGGCTGTGTGAAACTGTGGTAGTGAAAATACTAGGGAAATACACACGGTTAGAAAAAAGTACCCAAAATTAAGTTCTTTTCACTCATCTCGGCACTATAGTGCAGGAACCCAAAAGTAGGTAAAGCGGGTCAAAGTAAATTTCATTTACTTGTGTGCAATTCGTATGGAATTTTCCACTGGCTTTTTAACCAAAAGTAAGTTAGTTGTACCCAACAGTAGGTAAATATGATTATACTCAACGTTGGGTTCCCACACTTTACTACCCCTGTTGGGTGGTTTTGCTCCTCCGTTTTTGACAACATTAGAAGGAGAAAAGGAGACAAACTAGTCAAAAGTAGGTAAAAGTGAACTTTCCGTTGGGTACTTTTTTCTTACCGTGCATAACAAACGGCTGAAAAATTCATTACATACATTTTGAGGTTAGCCCGAGGAAAATAATAAACGACTTTACACGGCGATAGATCCATAGAGGTAACTCTAAGACCACTGGGTCCCGAAGAAAATCATTATTATTTTTGGCTCACTCAGTACCAGAACAACGGTCCCAAGCAGTCCCAAGCTATTTCACTCACCCCTGCATGTTCTGCATGAATCCACACACCCCTGATGTTAACTGTCAAACTTTCATAGCGAATCAAAACAAACATAGTGTAGTAATAGAATTTCAACTAGAATAGGGTACGTTAATCGTTTGCTTGGGACCAATAGGCTACTAAAGTGGTGAGCCAATTTAAAATCGTTAGTTTCGTATTGATTGTTGATAGATCCCCGTTAGTGTGCGTGCGTTAAACTTCACTAAACTATATTATGATCAAAATTTCATCAAAATGGAGTGGGGGTCAATAAAGAGCCTGAATTCATAAAGACATCTTATCCATTTGACAGGTCTTCTGCTCGATTGGAATGACTTTTCCTCATTTTTTCTTTATTTAGGAGATTTTTAGCCTAGGCTAGTTCATCTCCGTCAAATTTTTCTATGACTCTGACAGATAATCGATTGTTCCAATTTTCAACACGTCGACCGGTGGAACGGATGCGTTCTGATATAAAGATCAGAACACGCTAAAAGTGAAACGCTCAATTAAGGGTTACTGTGTTCGCAGATTTTGTGTATTGCCCTTGTTTTTTAGTTAGAGGAGCGAAGCGACAGGCAAGCGCCTTCTTGAAGCTTCTTTAAAAGTAGTTTCTAAAAGTAGCTTCTAAAAGAATATTGTAAAAGTTGCTTCTGAAAGAAGCTTGTAAAAGTAGCTTCCGAAAGAAGCTTCTTGTATACGCATGCTACGCCCTTCTTTAAATAAAAAAAACATAGACAGGATAGTAAATCTAAGAAAGCAGTAAACCTGAATCAGTCAATTCAAAACAGAAGATTTAAATATGCCGTACGCAGCTAGTTCGATGAGTTGTGCTTTTCCCGCTTAAATGTGTAGTGATCTATTATGTTTCCTCGCTTTATTGGCAATGGATTTAGCCGGTGCCGGTGGTGTAGTGGTAAGCGTGACTGCTTTCTCACCCCAATGGGTCTGGGTTCAATCCCAGCCGAGTTTGATGAGATTTTTCTGAGGCATAAAAATCTCTGGTCACGTCTTCCTTCGGAAGGGAAGTAAAGCCGTTGGACCCGGCTCATGTGTGTTGAATATGGGTGCGATATCGGACGCAGGTGTGGAAGCTGCCTTCCTGTGCACATTCGATTGCCGTCAGTGGATGGCAATCGATGTCCTTCGGTGATTGGCACTAGATTGCGGAACAGAGACCGGCGTTAAATAAAGGAAACAGAAGGAGAAGCAGAAAGAGAAGGAGAAGGTAATTGATTTAATGATATATAACCAAAACATAACGGCGCCAGTGGTGCAATGCTAAGCGTGATTACCTCTCACCCCAGCAGGCCTGGGTTCAATCCCAGTCGGCGCCGCCGGGATGTTCTTGAGGCATAACATCTCTGATCACGCCTTCCTTCGGATGGGAAGTAAAGCCGTTGGTCCCCGGTTCATGAGTTGATGGGTCGATAGGTAGGGTCCAGGTGTGGGAGCTGCTTTCCTGGCACGTCGGTAGCATTGGTGCTCAGCACGGAAAACAAGATCGACGAAAAAACAAACCAAAGGAAAAAAAAATAACCAAAACATACAATTTGCTCCCTCCATTTAGAAACCTGATTACGCACGTTACTTTTAGCATTGCCCTTGAAACATAGTGTAATTGATGGCTTCGGCGAAACTCTTAACCTACTATCGTGCGCGGGGGTAAATGAAGTCCATGTGCGCTTAATTTTTGCATAAGGATACATCATGTTTCAGAGCATCGATTGGCCAAACATGAACTCTCAAGGACATGGTGTACCCCCGTGACGATAATTACGGAGATTAGTTCAAAGTTTCAATTTATACTTTTGGTAAACCCAAAGCAATCTATTAAGCTAAACAAACATTACAGTCATCAAAAAGAGGCGGATTAATGCCGCATCGCAAGCTGCGATAATCTAAGTGGATGCAATACAACGCAACAGATGCTAAATTGCTAGTCGTTGCCTATGAGTATCCCGAGCAAGCCAGTGTCATTCGGTTCGTTGTGCTGATAGGAATACTAAACATTATCAGTATTTACAATATTCTTTGAGGAATGAGTTCTGACTGGCTGAAGTTATGTCAATGGTTTTTGATCATTGGAATTGTTTGGACGCAGGATCCTGGTGAATAGTTCTTATCGTAGTAAATGTACAACACTAATCGGTTTATTTTTTGCTTTGTAGATAGTTGCTTCAACAGCAGAGCTAGGGATGGTAAATGTGTACACATTGAGCTTTGTCCGGAGTTGCGAGAAATCGCTCACAAGAGAGTCGTATCGAAGCAAGAAAGTGAATTTTTAGCAAAAAATTCTTGCGGAAAAGCAATGGTAAAGTTATTTTTTAAATAACTACACGGCCAATCAGAACGACTCTGCGACTGAATTCGATTGACTCAGAACATTTTCTGTCCATACGAAATTTACTCATATTTGGGAAAACCTGCAGTTACTCATTAGTTCCTGCAGGTTTTCCCAAATATGAGAAAATTTGGTATGGAAAGAAAATGCTCTGACTCAATTGAATTCAGTCACTTAGTCATTCTGATTGACCGTGAACATATAGCTCACGGTTTTGATTGATTGCAGGTCTGTTGTGAAAACCCTTTAAAGAGCAAAAATGCGCTCCCAGGTGTAGACACTTGTGGTCTTGGTAATGTTGGAGACAAAATCATAGGTGGAGACTTAACTGACCTGGGACAATATCGGTGGATGGTAGCTATAGAGCTCCTCGAGGATAATGAGCGTAAAATCATCTGTGGTGGATCACTTATCAATACGTTGTATGTTCTTACGGCAGCTCATTGTGCAGCAAGATTTGTGCCTGAAATGTGAGTTTGACAGTATTAAAACTATTGGATATTCAACGGCCAAAGCAACATACAATTTGACTTAATTTCTAGTCTTTTCGTACGCCTAGGAGAGTTTGATCTAGAAATGGATCCAGACTGCGACGAATATAACAATTGTAATGATCCAGTAATGATTGTAGGTGTCAGCCAGAAAATCATTCATCACAGATATGGAAAACAGCGAAATGATATAGCACTTCTAAAACTTGAAAAAGCGCTACCAACTGAATACACTCAATTTATTTTACCGATCTGCTTGCCGTCACCAGAGCTAGTAGGACAGCAATCTTTCATAAATGAAGTGGTTTGGGCAGCAGGATGGGGAAATACAGAAACAGGTAGCTACAGTTCTAAATAAAAAAGGATATTTAATTACTAACCCTTACGGTTGAAGGTGAACTTAGCCGGTACAAGTTACATGTCAAACTGATGGTCACCAACTTGGATGAATGCAGAGTTTTGACAAGCCGGTCTGAACTTGGTCAAATGCACCTCTGCGCCAGATCGCCTATCGAAGGAGCTGGCGATACATGTACAGGAGATTCAGGTGGCCCATTAATGATCAACTTGAATGGGAATTGGTTCGTGATAGGTATAGTGAGCTTCGGAGAACCATGCGGATCGTCAACCAGGCCAGCAGTATACGTCAATGTTTCTAATTTTGTTGATTGGATACTGGAAAATACAATAGAGTAGAATACAAGGTCTAGACTTAATTAATGCCTTTCAAGTGTTAACCTAAAGCAGGCATGGAAAATCATTTGCATTCATCTCGTGCATGCATTTACATTCATTTGTCCCTAACTTTTTTCATCAACAGAATTCCGCAAAATGATGTGCTAAGTTCTTGTAAGCATTGTTATTAGCTACAGCTTTTGTTAAAAACTCAAATCCGTATCTCTTATGCATGACGAACCAGAGCCAACCAGAAGCCACTGCTGTTTTCAAGTGAATGTATTTTACATTCACTGAAAAACAGTAACAAGTTCTGCCCGCTCTAGTTCGTGTCCTGACTACTTCAAACTAGGGGAACAGGATTTTCCAGTAATCCAAGGAACACATCTTAGTCCTTGTTACTTTTTATGCCTTGTTGATAGTGACAAGACTCGGCTTTGTCCACCGAGGATGATCTTGAAACAAGGAAAAAATTAGTTATTTAGTCTTCATCTATGTGATTCCTAATCTTCTATTTGTTGTTCCCTAGTGTGAAGTGGTTAAGGCTGGGTTCTGATGCATGGTCATTATTGGTGTCATTGTTTAATTTTGTTGCTAAGGAATCCAAATCTGTAAAAAAAATTGAATACGTTATCATTTCTCAATAGTGATGCAGTAATACGACATGCACTAAACTAAAAGCTACGTTATGCTCGTAATGATATATAGTGAAGAAAAATTGCGCACTGACAAATTTACATGAAACTGGTTCATGAAGTTCCAGTACTAGCGCTGGAATCTAGATAGGCCGTTAAAAAAGCTTGCAATTAGAATCTTAGCAAAGTAAATATTGCAGTAGAACCTTTTTTCTAAGCTTAATACATCTATTCCCAGATCCCCTTATCTCATAGGACAATAACAATAAACTATCATTATTGTTATCAATATTTAGTAAGAATTTCAATCATGTTCAATAAACGTATGATAACATCGTTCAAAATTAATTCAATAATTTATGCAGAACAATCATAAAATATGTATTTCTTTGGGAGCAATATTAAGGTGCATTCATCCCAAAAACAATTATTGTTGCTAGGTTTTCCCATAGCACAAACTTAAATAATTGTCGAACAGTGAATCCAAACACATAAAGCAACCAACGAAACAGACAACACGCTTGCTATTATCACCACGATAAATTCTCTCTGCAACACAGCTCGATCAGAGCGGTATAAGGATAATGATATATTGGTTGCCTGCTTTGTTGCAATATACATGGTTGAGGACATAGCTTGATAAGAATCGCGAAAAGACATAACAAAAACATTTCCCCATGTATCATTTTCGGCTTCACTTCGTTCAGCAGCTTGCCAATAGTTTGGTTGTTTCCTTCTACCGACCCGAGCGAGCAATGTTGCAGAAATTGTTTGTCATGAAGAAAAAGGAGATGATTATATCATTATTGCTTTCCATTTCTGACAAAGCTTTATCGTCCGGCTCGTTTAGACTTCTGTACTTTCACGAGACATCACTGAGATGTAAAAGGGTTGGGATTGCAGCAGAATTCGTTTTGGTAATCGATATGCTATACTGATGTCCTAAAGATATAATAGCGCGAAGGAGCTTGGGTTTGACCCAAGCTCCTCCCACGGTCTTCTGTTCAGTAAGAAAAATCGGTCGCATCTAGGCCACCGAGCTTTTTATATCACAAAACAATTACGTTCAAGTTTCCGTTCAACTTGTTGTTACTAGATTTCAGGCCCTGCGGTGATCTCACCGACGACGATAACAAAAACTCATAACAAGGATTTCCGATCAACACGTATTTCTTAAAACTCGGTTATTATTTATTTTTCGTACTCGTTTCTCCAATCGAATTTCAATACGCTTTATTCCATATTAAGGAAAAAACCAATATACACTATAAGTCAATAATGTAAAGGAGCTAGAAATTGAAGCCATGAGTTCAATTACGATCAAGCTCCCGTTCAACTTGCTGTTATTATATGTTGATCTTGACGGCGACCTCACCCACGACAACAACAACTGATCTTGAGAAGGATTTAATATGGATTTCCGTTCAACATGTCTTTCGTAAAACTTGAAAATTGTTTCTTTAGCGTACTCGTTCCTCCAACCGAATTTCAATACGCTTAATCGCATATTAAGAATTCTATTTCCGAAAATAATAATTACCTGCTGTTTCCACGACGACGACATATTGCCCTCGAGAAGGGTTTGATATGTGTTTCCGATCAAAACACGTTTCTTATAGCTCGAAAGTTAATTCTTTTACGTACTTGTTTTAACCGAATACCATTTCGTTTTATTTCATTCTATGCAAGATAGTCGATTTACACTATAACTATGTAGAGTATGGTTCCGTTTTTATCAAACACATACATTTTGACATCTAAGACTTCGACAAGTTTTAATTATTGAAAAAAAAAATGATTATCACGTCCAAAGCTTCAATCTAAACCAGTTTTGCTAAAACCGCCACATTGGATTTAAAAATGGAGTCAACGGTTTCCGACCCCTAGGCGTCATCCCAGTTTCTAGAATATCCATATTGTAGGGAACTTAATAGATTTTAGAGCAAGAAGTTGCCATTTTGGATTCCAAAATGGAGTAAAACATCAATTTCCAGCTTCCACACGTCGTGCTAGTTCCAAAAATATCCATATTGTTGGGTTTTAAAAAAGAATCCATATTCAGCCACATAGCCACTTAGAAAAAACTAATTTTACACGTGACGGAATTCATCTTTAACATAATAGATGAGAAGTAAACAAACATGTAATGTAATATTAAGTGCTCCGAGACTGAAAAGGTCGTTGCTCGACGAAAAGTACGTTTGATTGAGCTATATTTCGCGTCTGTTCTGACTCAAATTTATGTCAAAATTGACGCTCGTTTCAGAGCACCTAAATTTACATGAATTTTTCTAAGTGTGCATTCCATAGCAAAACGATATAGTGGTTCAAGGAATTTCGTAAAAATTGGTAGTTTTGTTCCTTACTGCAAAATATCAGACCCTTATTTTTTTATTTTGTCATAAGGGTGACCATTTTCATGTTAGGGTGTTCCAAAAAATATTTCATTTGTCATAACATTTGTCAAAATAACAAATCAAAGGTAGTCTAGTCGCATAAGAGTATTAAGCAAAAACACAAAACTTGAAAATTAAAAAAACAAATGAATTTTTGATATGTTGTGTAGAAAACCTAAACTGTCATGGAAAAATATAAAAACATATTGCGCACTCTGTCTACAAACGATGAAAATAATAAAAAACAAACACAACCAATGTTTTTCAAAACAAAATCTCATTTTTTTTTTAAATATCGTTATGTTTTCAATTATTTTTAATTACCATTCATTTGATATTTTGATCTTTTGAATTGGCTTAGTGGTTCAAAAAGTATGAATTTAAAAAAGTTATTTTGAAAAAAAAAACATTTTTGAACTACTCTAACAAGGAAATGGCCACTCGAATGAAAACAATAAAAATAAAACGGGTCTAATATTTTGCGATAAGAATGAAATTCTGAGAACTATTATATCGTTTTGCTTTGGAATGGCTGTACTGTTAATTAAAAAAAAACAAAACCGGAAGTCATTTTAGATAAATAAAAAAGTATCTAACATAGATTATCGGCCTCTGCAAGCCGTCTCTGTTAAAAAAATACCCATATTGATGGGTATTTAACAGAATGTTTATAACCGAAAGTCGCCATCTTAGATTCCACAATGACAAGGAACCATTTCTAATTGAAAGGTCCCGTTATTTATAACGTATTTATTTATAAGCGTGGTTCTCAGAGTTTCGTAAAGGTTTGTAGTTTTGTTCATTATCGCAAAACATTAGACCCGTATTTTTTTTATTTTGTCATTAGGGTGACCATTTCCATGTTAAAGTGGTCCAAAAAACTAATTTTTTTAAATTCCTTTTTTCAAAAATTCATAACTTTTGAACCACTGGGCCGATAATTAAAAATACAAATTTTACATTAGGGAGCGGGACTATCATTTTTCTTTTTGCGAAATTATGAGAGCCACAATATGGTTTTGCTATGGAATGGCTGTTTGTATATACTTACTTCGGCCGGCGCTGGTGGTGTAGTGGTAAGCGTGACTGCTTTCTCACCCCAATGGGTCTGGGTCCAATCCCAGCCGAGGTCGGTGGGATTTTTCTGAGGCATGAAAATCTCTGGTTACGTCTTCCTTCGGAAGGGAAGTAAAGCCGTTGGTCCCGGCCCATGTGTGTTGAATTGAATGGGTGCGATATCCTACGCAGGTGTGGAAGCTGCCTTCCTGCACATTCGATTGTCGTCAATGGATGGCAATCGATGTCCGTCGGTGATTGGCACTAGATTGCAGAACAGAGACCGACGGAAAAATATACTTACTTTGATTAGAAGAGGAATCTGATGAAACTATCACTTCTTGAAACTAATCCCTTTCGTATTTGTTTCATTCTCTTTTCGCACTTTGCATATAAAACCATCTCAAACTTATCTCCATTTTGATTCAATGATGTACGGAGCGCTCATTCCGAGTGCTCGGTGGACCACCAACTTTAGTCGCTAACCTTCTCACAGATCACTATGGCAATACAGTGACAGATGGTGTACATGAGACCGACCACACCAACCAGCGAGGAAGGAGTCAATACTGAACCAGGATCGGAAATTAGTGTGGTCTTATCTCCCTCGGAAAACTAGACAAACCCAGAAAAGGCAGAATCATGTCAGAACAGGCACGGAAGCACGGAATGACTTGCGTTAGAGAAAAAGTACAAAGGATTCCAAAAGAAGCAATCAACGGCGTTTATAAATTAAATATCAAAATTAAACTAAATAAGCGCCTGGTTTGAAAATAATATTTTCGAACCTGGAAGTGTGGATGTAATACCAATATCCATTTGAAAACGGTGATGTATACATGCGGGGCTTATTGTGAGTAAAAGTGACCCCGTAATGGGTGTGAATCTCCAGCCATACTGAAACGGGTTGCCTGAACTACAATAGAGCTATCAC